GGGGGGGGGGGGGGGGGGGGAACAACATCTTGAGTTTACTGCACCGGGCGACACCAACCTTGGTGACGCCTCTGCTTTAGGGTAATAGGGCTTTAAGCAAGGTTTCAATAATTGCACAGCTTTAGTTGATAAATTATATTTTTAAATATCTTTTTAGGGAGACACAATTGTAAGATGAGCAATACATGTTTTTGTGTGTGTAATCAGCGTCTATAAGAAACAAAAGGTCTTTACATTCAATCCGTTTAGCTTAACATGGGCCTTTATCTAATGCCCTTAAACTACAAAAGATGTGTTTCTTTAAAAAATTGTTTGGAACAACCAAATACATATTTTTTAACAAGGTATTCCGTTTTGAAATTTTGCGCGTTTAATAATAAAATATCATTATCATTGGCGCTACACCCTGGCCTGCTCAACCACATCATTCCATTCGGATCGATCCATGGCTTTCTGCCTCCATACGAAAACCCCCAACTGGTGTAAATCTTTCTCTACATCGTGATCCATCTCAGTCTTGGATGACCGGTGACTCGCCTGCCCTTAGGCTTCTGCCTGTATATGACTTTTGCTGCTCAACAATCCGGCATCTTTTCAGTATGCCCTGCCCAGAATTGTCTGCCTTTCTTCTTATTGTTGGGATTATGATTGGGTCTTTGTACAATTGATATAGCTCTTGGTTTTTACGGATTCACCAGACATCATTTTCTATCACTGGGCGAAATATTTTCCTGAGGATTTTCCTCTCACATGTATTAAGCAGGCTCTCTGCTTCTCTCCAACCCAAGCCTGTTATTTTTCACTGGAGAGAGCAAAGACATCTTATCATCTCCTACCCTCTCCAAGACAAATCACTCTTCTTAGATGACACTCTTTTGGGGTAGTTGTTCCACTCCTACCAATTGGCGTGGTGAGCCAAGCATGTGGGATTAAGAAGAAACTGAAGTCAAAGTAATTTTGAATTGGTCGAAAACTTTTCAACAGCAAGAAATAATGGTAAAATTGAGGGAGAGACTGCGATCCGGTTAGAAAAAAAGGAAATGAGTAAAACACAAAGTATGGGAAAACCTGAAAAAAGGAACGCAAGGAAAAAAAAAAAAAAGAAAGAAATAATCTTAGATCTAATTAATTTTTTAAGCACATGAAATGAGAATTTCATCCATCTATTAATGCAAATTATGTTCTTTTGTTTGTTGACAATTTATTTAGTTTTGTAACTGGGTTATTTGTTTTGCATATGTGTGCAACTGTTCTAAAATAAATGAAATATATTCAAAGACCGATCACTCGTTCTTTAATGAATTTGCTTAATTTAGAAATTCTCAATAATGTGGTTTGTGCTATAACCATGAGTAAGGTATGCTAGCCATAATACAGCTGATCTAGATATGGGACATAATATGCTACACATGAGATTGACATGCTAGCCATGAGACAAGTTATGCTAGCCATAATACAGCTGATCTAGATATGGGACATAATATGCTACACATGAGATTGACATGCTAGCCATGAGACAAGTTATGCTAGCCATAATACAGCTGATCTAGATATGGGACACATATGCTACACATGAGATTGACATGCTAGCCATGAGACAAGTTATGTTGCCATGAGACAGATTTGTTAGCCATGGTTATAAGAGTCTCGGCTCAACTTTACAAGAGTATGAACCCTGTTTAGTAAAGTGGTTTTGAGTTTTCTACAAACTCTTTTTTACAAATTGAAATCTTTAGTTTAATTTTTTTTTCTCCAGAAGTTGAGGGCGCAAGTAGCTCGCCTGAATTTCAGTATCAGACAGTGAGTGGCAAATTATAGAATTAAACGGTTTATTTCAGACAGATTGACCAACATGAAACCAAATCTGAAATACGTTTAAGTCGCGCGATAAGGTTAATTAAATAAGAAGTAATTTATAACACAGTGAAGCATTTCATTTCACATTCTTTAAAATCTGAATTTTTAAAGTCTTGAGAGTACCGGTAATATACATTTTTCTAAAGAAACAGAAACAAATCATAAGAAAGTGCGTATTTTATTTGGGATCAGGACAAACACGGTGAGTATTTCATTTGGGAATCAGGACAAAAGCGGTGCGAATTTCATTTGGGATCAGGACCAACACGATGCGTATTTCATTTGGGATCAGGACAAACACGGAGCGTATTTCATTTGGGATCAGGACAAACACGGTTTGCATTTCATCTGGGATTAGGACAAACACGGTGCGTATTATATGTAAGTATAGGAAGATATGTGCCGGGCAGAGAAGATTTGTCGCCCGCGAGGAAATCGTGTGCCCCAAGCGGAATGTTAGCAGAGAGCTGGGAGTAGGATGATGAAAAATAAGTAATATCATAAAAACTTTACACGGGTCTGCAAAAGCGTCAAGTGATATCAACAAGAGCGTCAGGTGATATAAGGAAAAGCGTCAGTTGATATCAGCTTCCCTCGCAGAAAGTATCTGGTTAGACGCTCCGGTCAAAAAATTGCTGGAGACTCTTAGCAAAGAAAAGCAGAACAAGGACAGTCAGAGCAAGGACAGGCAGAGCAAAGACAGGCAGAGCAAAAGACAGGCAGAGCAAAGACAATCAGAGCAAAGACAGGCAGAGCAAAGACAGGCAGAACAAATATGGGAAGGTATTGAAAAGCGAAGACGAAGGAAGCTTGACACCCATTTTTACCGCTGGCTGCAGGTGCCCTAAATGATGTGGAGTCACAAGGTACATAATTCATCTTCACCGTCAACCTGCAGGCCAACAAAGGACTTAACACCTGGAAGGCTTAACGCGATAATCATAAATAATAATATAAATCACTGATGGTGTCATCTTGCTGGCAAAATCCATATAATATAAAAATAGGGTGATTGCATTCATTGTGGGTTAGAGTTAGAAAGAAACAGCTCTAGGGAAATTTACGGGAATTCAGCCAAGGATTGACATTAAAATACTATTTGAGTTAATTTCCGTAAGAGTGAATGGCCCAAAGGCTTATGGTTTGAAACAAAACCGAAACTCTCAGCTTTTGCGTGTTTTTTTCTTCTTCTTGATTTCTTTTATTTTGTTTTCAGAAGCAGGAGAAACCACTGCTGTGAATCACATACAATGAACTAACATGCCATATGACTTAGATCTACAGCGAGGGTACTTCACAAAGACCAAGGGCGCCGAAATCGTCTTTTACTGGTCGGCACCTATAGCCACATTTTTAAAAAAATTTTTTTTGAAGTGTGCCATTTTCATGCTTTCCCCAGGCGTTCCTCTTTCCACAAAAGCTCCATAGAAAGCATGACGCCAACATGAATAGCGGCCACAGAGCAAAAAAAGACAAGCCAGAAAAGTCTGGTTTAACTCTGCACCTGAAGATGACCTATCCATCCCTGCACCTACTGCACTGCACAAGAACATTTCATGCTAGCATCGGTCTTATCGTCCTTCTGTGCACCGACTTACAGAATCAGATCCAGCCAATATCCGAGGATTGCAATGATTTTATCGCTTTCAGCGGACGAACTAACAATTATGCCATGGATATTTTAATTGCTTTGAGCGCCATAGTTTCTATACTACATACTAAAAAAAATGTGCCTGAAATTATTTTTTTGTTCGCAAAATCTTTCTAAGATTTAAAGATGAATCATTAAAATTTATTTTTACTGTTGGCAACCACCGTGCCTTGCAATGAAGCTTGCTAAAACTATCCATAAAATTTAAAAAAAAAACACACAAAAAAACTTATGAGAACCGGAAAACACAAGTACTGATGACGTAATCTGCGCAAAGCTCTACAAAATTGAGTCATTGATTGTTTTTGAATGATTTGTTTTGGGGGGAATATTACTTCCGGCTCTAATAGCACCATTATTTTTGAGAAATGGAAGTAATCTGACTGACGATGACTTTGCTTTTAACGCAATGAACCGTGGACCTAATTAGATGTCGCCTGCTGGAATTTTAAGTATAATTAGGTTTGGGACATTTCTATTCACTGTCTATACCATCCATTACGGTAGCCAGAATGACTGTATTAACATGTTCAGCATCTTCTATTTCATAAAAGTACATGTTACATTGCGAATAAGTCCGGGAAATTAAGTTAAGCGGCTTAATTTTTTTCCACACACAGTTTAAAAAAAAAAAATGAATATATTTTTTTAAAAGTTCATATAATATGAACTTGGTAGTTGGTCCACACGTCTTTAATTTGAATCCGCTGCCGTCAAACTGAGATGTAAAAACTCATTCCTACAACAACAAAAAAATAATAAATTATATTTTTAAAGAAGACTATCATATGCTTTTAATGAAGACTGTCATATGTTTTTATGAAGACTATCATATATTTTTAAAGAAGACTATCATATGCTTTTAATGAAGACTGTCATATGTTTTTATGAAGACTATCATATATTTTTAATGAAGACTATCATATATGTTTAATGAAGAGTATCATATATATTTTTAACGGAGACTATCATATGTTTTTAACGAAGACTATCATATGTTTTTAACGAAGACTATCATATGTTTTTAACGAAGACTATCATATGTTTTTAACGAAGACTATCATATGTTTTTAACGAAGACTATCATATGTTTTTAATGAAGACTATCATATATTTGTAACGAAGACTATCATATGTTTTTAACAAAGACTATCATATGTTTTTAACGAAGACTATCATATGTTTTTAACGAAGACTATCATATGTTTTTAATGAAGACTATCATATATTTTAAAGGAAAATGGCACTTATTCGGAAAAAAAAAATTCCCCCGCGAGGCATTTTAACCAAGTTGGTGGAGACGCCCATGTCCAGCTGGCAAAAAGGTCATGGGAAATAGGGGAGGGGGGCATCCAATATAGTACGTACGCACTGGGGGGGGGGAGAGGTCCATTTTGGAGATTTTGCACACGTTTTCGAAAAGGCCCGGAGAAAGTGAGAAGTTACGTACATTTATTTAAGACATTCTACAATAATCATCCTGACACTATGACAGGCCAAAAATAACGTATTTATATATGGAATGCTGTAAAAAAAAAAAATATCATGCAACGTTTTGTTAGAATTATCGTCATAATATTGCCGTGTATCTTCGCCAATGAACTCGCTAGATATTCTCAGATAGTACTCAGTGGTAGAGGTGTTACGGTAATGATTAGATCACCGTGCCGTACGTTCACCGTGCGTGTGACGCATGTTTTGTTGGGCTACGCCAGTGGTTCCTAAATTTTTAAATTCCCTGTTCCCCTTATGCCAACTTTAGGTTTTCACCCGGCTACAAGTGTGGAATTCTAAAAATTTACAGTTCGAATTATTAGCGAATATATATATATAGAAGCACATATATATATACAAAATAAAATAACAGGTTGCGTCATATATACATAAAACGCTTATTGGAGGTCATTAAGCGTCGTTTAGTTGCTGCAAAAAGTGGTTACTCAAGTCGGTTACTGTTTGCACCACGACCGCTAGATTTCAGATGGGATTAAAAGTGAAAAAAAACAAATTAAAATTGTATATTTCGCAAATCCCCTGTGGGAAAACCACAGCAAGCGATACAGAAAAAAATGTGACACCCCCCCCCCCCCCCCTCCCCCCGGCCGAAAAAGTAAAAAAAAATAAAAAAACAGGTTGCGTCATATATACATAAAACGCTTATTGGAGGTCATTAAGGGTCGTTTATTTGCTGCAAAAAGTGGTTACTCAAGTCGGTTACTGTTTGCACCACGACCGCTAGATTTCAGATGGGATTAAAAGTGAAAAAAAACAAATTAAAATTGTATATTTCGCAAAACCCCTGTGGGAAAACCACAGCAAGCGATACAGAAAAAAATGTGACACCCCCCCCCCCCTCCCTTCCCCTGGACGGAAAAGTAAAAAGACTTTTGTTTTTGTTGTTGTTGTTGTTGCGTCTCATCTTTATGAAGTATTCACTATTAACGTTCTATCTGAAGACGATCTTGTGTTGCCCTTTATCCCATTCTCATGGCCTTGCCCGACTTTCGGCCCGAGGGCAAAGTGACACTCAGGGCGGTGCGACCTATTTTCTCGGAACCACTGAGCTCGCAAACATCCAGCGGTGAAAGGACGTGGCACATTTTGTTAACTGTGGCGTCATAATTGTATAAAGATTATTTGATTCGTTTGGTGGTTTTATTTTCGGGGTTGGGGGGTAGAAAGCTTATTGAACGTACGCATAGGAGGTGGGGGTCGTCAAGAGGTACGCGTGCAACAGGTGGGGGGGGGAGGGGATTCGAAAAGTTCACTTTTTGCGTACCGTACGTACTATAAGCATTGCCCCAATGAAGTAAGTTGTCGCTGTTGTTTCTGGTTAGTTAGGCTACAATCACATTGGATCCGTATTGCACCGAAATTTTAGACTGGCGAACGAGAGGGGGTGGGGGGTAGAAAGCTTATTGAACGTACGGAGGGGGGGGGGGGGTCGGCAAGGGGTACGCGTGCAACAGGTGGGGGGGGGAGGGGATTCGAAAAGTTCACTTTTTGCGTACCGTACGTACTATAAGCATTGCCCCAATGAAGTAAGTTGTCGCTTTTGTTTCTGGTTAGTTAGGCTACAATCACATTGGATCCGTATTGCACCGAAATTTTAGACTGGCGAACGAGACCAAATGGAGAATGGAAAAAAAAAAAAGAGATTGCTCGAACAAAAAGTGAAGATTCTCACAGTAGCTAAGTCAAAGTCGGGCACAGTCGGCGCTTCGCCTATTCGTACCAACGAAAGAGTTACCCGATTAATTCTTCCAAAGAAACATAGCAGCAGATCGATTCAAGTGCTAGATCCATAATTTAATCGTGGAAACTATCAACATTGTATCCACGGCTGTAATTTATATCATTTAAATTTGTAGGAGAAAAAAATTGGGAGTTATTGTTAAGTTAATTTTTTTTTTTTTCACTTTCCAACCATAGATCTGATTTACTTATCAGCAAATCTTAACACTAGTCACAAAAGGTCAAAGGCTTTCTTCGGGATGATTAAAATCGGATGCGGTCGATTGCAAGTTTGAGCGCAATGTCATATACGATTTTTCTTTACCGAAAACGCGATCTCGTATATCAGTCGAAAGCAGTGGTACTCAACCTTCCTAATGCCGCGACCCTTTAATCCAGCTCCCCGTGTTGTAGTGACCCCCCAACCATAAAGTCATTTTCGTTGCTACTTCATAAATATGTTTTTTTTTTCCGATGGTCTTAGGCGACCCCTGTGTAAGGGTCGTTCGACCCCCAAAGGAGTCGCGGCCCACGGGTTGAGAACCGCTGGTCTAAAGTATCCCAGTGACTCAAATCGTTTTGAATTAATACGCTAACCTCTTTCAGATATGACTGACAGATGGAATATGGCAAGTTTAATGGCTGGGCTGTTCTCTTGTTTCACCTTCTCCCATTGACCGCCCTTCAGCTTGGACACGCCGTGAACTACCACTGCCTGGCACGGCCGCTGACCTTCGGACGAGATAACAGCAGGGGCGACCATGCCACGATCAACTTCAGCGTCGTGTTTCCGACTACCTCTCGAGATTTTCAAGCCGCTAGAACTCATTGCAACTACAGAAGCACTGGTTCTCTTCATACGGGGGGTCGCCTAATGATCGGAGCTCGCGCGTTCGATATCAAATGCACAGCGCCCATGACAGACACAGCGGTGCGATTAGTTCTGTGGACGGCGCCCAGGAGACGGGGCCACGAAGGCAGCGTTAACGCGAGCGACCCCACCGGCACGACTTACAAACAGACGTATTTTTCCTGTGGGTGTTTAGGCAGTCAGCCACAGTCTGGCAGATGTGGGATAGAGTTAGAGGGCCGCGGCGCTTACAAAAGAAACGGCCCTGGGACACATTATTTGACCTTGGCCGACAAAGAGATCCCCGCCATCGGCTCCCCCACTGTCCTCACGTATATCTTACCGCGGTGTCTGAGCTGCCTGACTTCCGTCCATAGCGTGGAGTCGGAAAAGTCGATGGATGGAAAGTTGGTGCGTCTGTCTAAAGGGACATTTACTCTGAACAGCACGGCCGTTAACCCGAAGGAGCAAGCGCCACCGCGGCGTTTACAGCCAAACAATTTTCTTTTTCACCACGGAAGTGCGCTCAACGGGGCGGAGAAGAAGAATCGACGAAAGAGGAACCTGGCGTGCCCACTGGAGAAGTTCGGCCCCCACTGTGAGCATTCTTGCTACTGCGCTCTCTCCAAACCGTGCCACACGGTTACAGGGGCGTGCAATGACAAACAGTGCGCCCTGGGTTGGGCCGGGCCGTCCTGCAACGAGCGAGCCTGCGGCAGCACGGATTACCTGGACATAGAGGACCAGCACTGCCTACCGTGCCCGTGCAACAACTCGGACTGCGACATCCTGACGGGCCGGTGCCACGAGCCCTGCGGGCGGGAGGCGGCGTGCGTGCAGCAGCAGTGCAACCGGCACTTCTTCTCGCCGCCGAACTGCAAGCGGAAGTGCTCCTGCTGGGCGGGCAGCACGTGCCATCCGGTCACCGGAGTTTGCCTGGTGGAGACGTGCGCCTCGGACTTGTACGAGCCGCCCACGTGCAGCGAGCCCCACCCTCGAGTCAGCGTGTTTCACATCATGAACGCCATGATGATTCTGGCGGTGCTCGTGCTCACAAAGATGTGCGTGTTCCTGGTCATGGCGAAGAGCTCGCGGGAGCGCCTCAGTGAAGATTTTACTGGTTTGCCGCTGAAGGGGGATGAAAAGGTCAAGTACTTTCTGTCCATGGAAGAGGGCACCGGCGTGAGCCAAGATGAAGCCGACGGGAAGGATGTAGGCGCGAACGCGATAGAGGAAGCAGGTGGTGGAATAGCAGATGGTGGGACAGAAAATAGTGAATCTGATGTGATTCCCTAGTGGGGACGGGGTCTGGCCCGTTGCAGCGTGTTACATAACTGCACTAAAAGTAATAATCCAGAGATGTAACCATTAACTACCGGGTACGCCACTACTTGAGCTGTCCGAGCCAGGGGCGTCTACACAGTTGCTTCCAATCTCAGTTGGGGGGAAGGGGGATTTATCCCCCCAACTGCCCGCTTTTTTTAATTCGCCAGGTAACAAAATTAATTTAAAAAAACATTATTAAATTATTTTTTATTACATTATGGGGGTGGGGGGGGGTGTAGTTTGCAAGGAGGGGAAAACCCCAATTTTTTCAAATGCCCGACTGAAGACGGGAAGATAACTCTTATCCTCTGGTATAGACCAACACGTGTTTTAACACAACGGGCACCAAATTATAACCACAATTTTTAAAAAAAATATAGGCCTTACAAATATTAATACAAAAGTAAGGGTTATTTTTACTTGTTGAAAATGGGAATAATGATTGCACTGTTAGCGAAATTTTAAGTTTTTATCAATAATATGATTAGTAGTCAAACAATGTTCTAACAATTTTTAACTGAGACTATTCATATTTGAGATCAGAACGTTAAGGATAATATAAAAAATGGTAAAACAGTCATGTGTAATGAGATTTAAAAAAAAAAATATAATATTTCCGGGTGTGGTAAGTCTATATTTAGTTTTCAGAATATTTAAAATATTTTTTTTTTTTTTTTTTTATTTTTTATTAAAAAAAAAAATATAATATTTACGGGTGTTGTAAGTCTATATTTAGTTTTCAGAATATTTAAAATATTTTTTTTTTTTTTTTAAATTTCGTATTGCTAAAGAATGAATCAAGAACTTTATCATGTTAACAAATTTTGATTGTTACAATTAATATATTTTATAAACAAGTGAAGGATGGCTGTTAAATCTCTTAAAAATTGTTCACATGACGTTTTTTATCTTTTTGAATGACCTTATTTATTTGAGATAATTAGGTGTTTACATTTGCAAACAATTTCTTCTGTCACTTGTCACGTTATGTACTCAATGGATTCTTATATTTTTCAGTAGAGTATTTGGCTTTAAAAAAAGAGAAGATTTCCTAATTCCAAGACTCATTATTAACGTCCTTATCCGCACTTTTTTTAAAGTTATTTACAAATCAAGTTCATTAATATAAAGTTAAAACAATTATTCCTATTCAATAAAGATCATCAAATCTGAAGGCTTTTGTTGTTCTTCTTCTATATATTAAGGGCCTACGACCAATGTATCAATCATTCTGGCTCCTATGTATGTAGAGGGATTTGTAGACTATGTATTGTAATGCATTTCTTAGTTAAGTGAGAATGCTTGAACAGCCTGGCAATCAAGAAATGTGTGAAGTACAGTTTTTTTTTTTAAAATGTTTGTTTCAACATTTCTCAAAAAGTCTTTACAACAACAATGGATCAGAGTGGTACATGAGAGTCGATTTCATCTACATCTTTTAAGATAAAACCTGTTCTGCTTATCATATGAGCCTGAAACAGGGTGCACCGCCAAAGTATGGCCATACATTTCAAGCAGAACCTCAACATACCCATTGTAAAATTAAATTTAAAAAATAATACTATGATTCAATGTGAGCCATCAGTAAATAAAATACCATTTTTTTATGCTGACTTATGACTAACCAATGTTATACAGGATCCGGTTAATTTTGAACCCCCCAAAATGTATATGAAAATTAACGTTTGCATGTTTCACGTAAGTATGCTGATGATTTTTAAAAATTGCTTTAGGTGAATTTAAATTTGAACAATATGAAATGCACTTGAAAACAATATGGATTCCAACAAACACAATTCAAACATGTACTTTTTTTTTTATTTGCTATGCATGAGCATGTTTTTTTTAAGACAACTGTTTGGATATACCTGAGGCATTTATTAAGAAGTATTTAGAAGACATTCATACAAACTTTGCTCAATGAAAAATACTTTTAAAAAAATGAAAGTTAAGAAACAAACATAAAAAATATTGATCAATTCTAAATTTATAAATTAAGACAAAGCAATATACCAATACAAAAGACGACTCCGATTTTAAATTTCGTAATAAAAGAATTTCAACAAATGAAATACACATTTAGCTTGAAGTGGGTTGGTTGTGTTTAAAAACAACAGGAGCTTTTCAGTAGCAGAATTATTTTTATTTTTTATTTTTTTAAGACCATATTTCTACTTCTTATGTTTACAACTAAGGCACTAAAAACAAATCAAAACCATCTTGTCAAATTGGGGCTGTTCTGAAAATGTAGTTGAGGGTGGATACTCAGTGTGATGTGCTTCATTTATATTGAGTGGTATGGTGGGTGGACAGCAGAACATATGAATGGTGAGATCAACATAAGGGCGTGATTGGTCAAGACATTTGGCAGTTGATGAATGGAAATGTACTATATAACCAAAGGCCAGGACTCGGAAACATTTTGTATAATTAGCGACAATACTGCATGTCCTTGTGTTACCATATATAATAATGCAACAAACGCGACTCATTGTATCAGGCTATAGCGCTATTCATATGTTCATATTTAGAGTTGTATTGTATTGGGCTGGTTATATATTTGTTAGGCCTATAACTTAAAATAGAATTACTGCTACAGCTTTTCCAAAAATAATTCCATTCAAATATTGTTGTTTTTTTTCCATCTATAATAATGCACACAAGTCCCAAGATGGCATTCATAAAGGGTGAGAGTAACTTAGCAAAGCTGTTTCTTTATTTCGAAGTTCCAAATGACAAGGAGAATTTTACCATTATACAAAACTGATAATAAATGGATCTTTGTGTGTTGAAATAGTTGATAAAAAAAAAATAAAGACTATAAAAATGGACCACTCCTTAATAGATCCACGACTTCAGGCTGGTTGTGAATAAATGTCACGCTGTAGTTTTACTCTACCTGTCAGGTAAGACAACATCCTAGTCTAAGACCCACCACCAAACTAATCGTAGGTGCAGACTTAACAAAAAACAAACTTTGTTACAGCACTGACATCTGGTTGTTATGGTGTGGGTATTCATAAAAAAGGGTATTTCTGTGTGCACATTTTTGGTGCTAATTGCTGATACATTTGGTGTCAAAGGTGTTTATTTCAAATTATACTTTTGTTGAAATGTATAAATCTAACATTTTAAGTAGCTCAAGATCTGAATATGTGCAAGAAATTATTGCACTGACTTAAATTACTGTATTTGCTGGAAATGTTCAGAATATATATAGATGCTGTTATTGAGTTTTATTTTCTTTCATATAACTACACAACAGTGTGAAGTCTGGACGGGGGGGTAGTATCATTAAATATTTCCAGACTCCAAAAATACCTGAAAAAAAAACAATGATATTTTATAGTGTTTCACTATTCAAACAAATAATTTCCCCCTCAATTACATTACTTAACCCTGGCCTAAATACAAACGCTAAAATGAATTACATATCTTCAGACTCCACAACCCAACCATCTGATGACAAATTGTGATCTGATGTTGCATGTCAAACTACGTGCCTGAAGTCAGCTGATCAAAGAATAAACTACCACGTTAAATTAAAACTGTGGCTGTCTGTAGTCAAATATGTCACTTTTGAAATAACATAGATCATGACTTCAAATAGACTGTTCAATTGTTCTCATGCAACACATAACACCTCTGGTTAATACCAATCCACACATGATATCTCTGTGTAAGTAGCAAAATTAAGGCCTTATTAAATAAAAATGGGGGGGTCCAAAGTTTAGGAAATAAGATTTTTTAGAGTACATAGAAAAATTGAAAATTTTCCTAAATAAAAGTATAAAACATGCTAAACCCTTTATATAATGTCTGTTATTCCAGCTGAGCTCCGGCAATATTTATCAAATTAGATTAAACTATTCATACAAATCTGAAATAATCATATCCATGGTCTACCAAATATATTGAAGTTTAAATACAGCAGCCTCAGACTGATCTCTGGTACAGGTATAGATAGGCAAGGTCTTTAGGGGGGTGCTCTGAGAGTGCCACTTTCTCGTCATTGTATATAACCCACTGACCATCCTTGAGTATATGACACACATAATGGCCCACACTTGTAGAGGTGCCCATGTGGCTGATGAAGGCCACCAGTTTGTATTCTGTGAGAAGTAGATTAGGAAAGCAATCAATGTTTGCAGATGCCAGTGTTCAAATCCGAAAAGATGGTTTCACCAAATAATACCTGTTGAGCTTTTCTCAAATCCTGATAATTACCAAGTCAGATTGAAGAGATATAATACATATCTAAAAGTACAGCGTTAATTTATAGTGACTGATTTCAACCTTTCTATCAACACAAAGCCAATCTGTGTCTAAAGAAGGTATGATCACGCAGGGAAAAATTATTTTTTTTCTGGAAAGAAACTAGCATAATTGATTGGTGCATATCATTTCCACTTTCATATCGTTTGTGTTTGTCATGGCTTGGCTAAGTAAACCTGGATCGGATTATGTCACCGTGAATTGAGAGGACAGAAATTATTCAAGAGTAAAAGTATAAATTTTATTTTAAACAGTATTTTATTGGGTATGTTTTAATTAACCCTACTTAGCTTTCTGGAATTGAGTTTAGAAACAAGAAACATGATTTTGGAACCAACCCAGGGTGGTAAAAAAAAAAAAAAGGCGGCAACCACGGGCAAGCTACTCTGTTTTTAAAAAATTTGATCATATCCCATAACATAGCCAACAAGAAAATTTCATGAAGGTTCTCCCCTTAGCTAGGCATACACTCTAACATATTTACATGCTTCCCATAGGAGCCAAAATGATCAATAAATTGATCGTGGGCCCTTAAGATATAGAAGATATGAATGAATAACAACTTATAGCTTGTTTAAAGTCAGATTTTCTTCAAATTTTGCCAAAAATGGACACAGAAGATGAAATTAATAGCAAGATAGATGTAATTACAGTTTATTCATCTGTTAATTATCCCGTTGTGGAAACACGTTCCTGTATTTAAATTAACCTAGTGCTTTTAATTTTAGTCAGTCTTGACAAAGTTATAGTCTTAGTTTTCACGAACTTGGGGAAAAACTCATGTGGATAGGTGTTTTTTATACTCAATTCACTATGCGGATATTAAGTGGTAACTTTTGAAAGTTTAAATATAATGTAGATTAAATAGTGTAAAAAAAAAAATCTTACTCTCTGCACCATCCTTGAACTTTGATGCCTGGGATCCACCTTCAGTTGAACTTTCCGTTTCCATTGATTCAGTTAAATCATCGGCATGGCTGAATATCCAATCAACAGCTCTCTCAGTATTGTTGTCCTGAAAGGAAATAAATGGCATCAACTGTTATTTAATTTATTCTCATTAAATTTCAAAATTAACAAATTCTTTAGCAGCCACTGTTAAAGATATACCGGTAGTTAGATTGACAAACAGCCAGGAGAAAAGGAATTGATATGAACTATTTTGATGTGATACAACTTTTAAAGATGATTAAGATGTATGAATTATGATAAAGCAATAGTACCAATAATGCAAAAACACCTTTACATAACTAAATTTTACAAATTTTTAATAATGAAATAAAACGGAAAAATTAATCTACATAAGAAAAACCTGGATGAGCTTTAATATTAATAGTTAATTTTTAAATTGATATTGAATTTTTTTTAAAAATTAAAAATTGAAGAAGAAGGAGGTACATATCACTGTGCCATCGAAGTGATTCAAAATCAGTGCATCCCAATGATATGGGAAATATGCACATTTTATCATTTGATTTGTGCATAGTTTGGGAAATTAATTATAAAAAGTGTTGGACTGGGATAAAGCCTTAAAATAGTTTTGGAAAGGACAGGGCTACAGCCTTATGTGGCTTACAGTAGATTTCAATGCTTTTGTAGCCTGGTCAATGCTGAAGCCCATGGACATCAAGAGACCAAGACCCTCTTGGCTGGGTTCAAACACAGCCCTGGATCCCTGAGCTTTGCTGCCTCCCTGAGGGATAACAAATGGAGCAGCAAAATCTGGAGAGTAAAGGGTGGAGAATAAGAATCATTAGACTAGAACCACTTCCATGCATGGTCAAAGCACTGGTAAACAAAGGGATGACAAAGGGATGGTTGAGTGACAAGGCAAGTAGAGATCCTAATCAAAAAGAAAAGTTAACTTTTCCTTATGGTACAGTCAATTTTATGCACACACTCAACAGCTTTAGTTTAAAATTAAGTTTACTTTGTGACAAGCATTTTAGATCAATTTAAAACACTATAATAATAATTTTAAATTTCATTATTGATTTGTTATTGTTTTTATTAAAATTAATAAATGTATACATTTCTACAAAAACTACACTCAAAATATGCAAAACATGTCTTTAAATTAGATGTGTATACAAAGAATTTTATGACATAAAAACTTTTTCTTCATCTTTTTGCACAAAAATTAATTTCAGTGCAAAAGCTCTTGATATTGATGTGGACTTACAAAACACTTATTAATCATATAGAATATCTGGGTGGATTTGAGTCTCATGGAGAGTTAAGTTTTGCTGAATCATGCAACAGTCTTAATGAGAAACAAATTGGGAGCCAGTGTTGAAAATCAGAGCCACGCATATGCAGAAATTATGCATGAACATCTGAAACAACAACAACGCAAACCATTTCCTTAACTTCCGCCTTTGATTCTCATGAGAGCAGACCTACCAGGATCATCCATGTGTTCCATGACCCAGTTCATGGCCACCTCGACTCCAAGGTTCTTGGTGTGAAACACTGCCTTCCTGCAGGCCTCTCTTGGGAAACCCATGTCAACCAACTGACCAACGGTGGCCTCGCAGATTTCCATCGGTGGCTCTGGAGAAGACAATTTAAGCCTGGTGCACTCGTTCAAAACTATTTTTTTTAAAAATGGGAAAAAGTGCCTCAACAGAAATATGAATTGTAAAAAATGACAGTAATTAAAGTGTAGATCTAGACATCTCAGTTTTTAATACACCAGGCAATGAATCAAATTAAATATTTAACTCTTCTGGTACCAACCTACTTTTTTTGCTATGTATAGTGTCAGTACCAGCTATTATTTTGCTAATTATTCCCTGTGGCCCAGGCATTACTTTGGAATGAGCCAAAATTTGATAGGTTTGCAAATTATTTTGTAACCTTTCTGTTGATCTGTTCAGTAACGGATAAGGGTGTTAAAAATACTAATGTGTTTTGTTCAAACTTTTCATTGGCAATGTCACACTAGGGGATTGTGTGGCTAGCACAGTGTCAAGTCGATCTTACTAAATCAATTTCTATGTTGACACTAGTCTAAAACTTTTCAAACCTACAGGCTCCCGTAGGCGTAAATTTTGAGCTATAGTAGGCCTATTTCTTTCAACAATTTAACCCCCATCTCCCTCATCAGCACCAGAATCATCTATTCCCAATTAAAGCTCAATAATAGTTTCAGAACAAAAGGTTTCATCAAGTGGGCGTAAGTGGTAATCAAAAATAGCGCTAGGTAGCGCCATGCAAACATGAAATACAGATTCGCACAACAAAACTCAGTAATTGGTTGATTTTCATAATTTAAAAGGCAGAATAAAATGCGACAATTCCCCTAACGAATAAACATTCTGCAATAGAGTAGGGTGAAATGTTCTATTCTCGTTTTTTGTGTTAAGTTAGATACCCCTCTATGAGGCAAATAGACGCGCTTGGGGCATAGGGAAAAAGTAGGTCACTGCAAAAAGACGCGCCTGTTACTGTAAGTGTTAATATCATAATTGATAAACAAATCAAGGATGGTATAATTCAATTTCTCAGACACATGCTCTTCTTTTACTGCATTAACTTTCACATTACAGAAACAAATTTCTATGAAATAAGCATGTGAATAATCATAACATTTTTTCCCAAATTAAAACGGAAAATTTTTAACACTCCACCCCATGTCCCAACACTCCATTTTGTTGTAATGGCATTGGGAAAAGCCAAGTCTTAACTGTGAGACAAGTGCATCAAAGTTCAAGGACAAACCTGGGGGAGAGTCTCCGGCTGGCAGCTCCTCCTCTCCAGGTTGAAGACCAAATCCCCTAAGCTGAAACAGATCAAGTTCATCAGGGACTTGAATAGACACATCTGGGAAGAAAAGCATTTCAACATCACAACAAAGTTATGTGTCTGTATTAGGAGAGAGATAGGGGGGGGGGGGGGTGGGGGGGAAGCAGCAACAAAAACATTAACAACTTGTCTAACATTATCGCATATTTTTCATCAAGCTTGATCTCTCATAAAACCGCTTGTCAACTTTATGCTTACCACCACCCTTTCATAAGTCTCAAGCGTGTGTTAAAATTCAACCCCTGCAGAAAATATCCAGAGCAAGTAGGAAAAGATAAAGACACATACATTTTTGCTACTCAGAAACTAATCAGGAAATAATGTTTACCCAATTTTCTAGGAACCCAGTCATCACCGATTGTGAACTTTCTTAGCTGCACCATCAGGTAATCAGGGAATGAAGACAGACGAGTGGTTCTGTAGAAAAAAGAAAGAAAGAATTCAACAAAGCTTTACTGGTACATTTTAATTTTTAGTTGTGAAAGAACACCTGTATCTCTTTTTACTCCATTTTACTCTGGCAGTATTGCTAGATAAATGTACACATTCCCTGTTTAAAAAAATTTCTGGTTATTTTTTTAAGCATGATTACATTTTTATTTACACCAAAATAAGTGTACATTTTTAGATAAAAATAGTTAAGTATCTTTGCGTCCACTTACTTTTGTGCAAGCGTTTTTCCTTGTATAGCAGAACTATAAAACTCCTCCACAAGCTCTGCTTCCTGAAAGGCTTTTAAACATTCCCATAAGGGAATGATAGGACGGACAATAGTTTTTGGATCTCTGGGGAGTTAACATTTGAACTAGAAGATTAGGTGTGGATCATGAAGTATTTCTTCTTTAAAGAATAGTTATTTGCCAACTTAACTTCTTCATAGGTAAAACAGCCTGTGTAAGACGACTATTATAGAACGCAAGCAATTTGGTTTTTCAAAAGATTCACTGGCACAGTTTACCACTACTAAACTATCACATGAAATTTACATTTTGTATACACTAAAGAGACCATATAATTTTCAAAAAAATATTTAGAACAAAACTTGTCCAGAACGTCACCTCTATGAGATGATAAGAATGCTCAATAAGATCCCAAGAATAAGGTGCCTCTAACAAGACCTGTTACTGTTAAAAGAAAGGTCACATATCTAACTTCATGAAACCACTACTCACACAAGCACCGTGGATGTTCCTGACTTTGATTTTTCTTCATTGTACTTTCGAACTTCATCTGAAATCAGAATGTGTGGTTTAGAACATCTTAAGTATGTGTCTTTTAATTGGCTGCCCACTGTTCATTTGTGTATAACATGGACATCTTCAAATTATTTTATTATCTTTTTTTTTTAACTTCATTTATCGTTTAAAAATAGGTAACTTTCATAACATTAAGATAATTGATCAAACACAAGCAAGGTATTATAGGGAAGTTACCTTTATTAATGGCTGCATCCATCTGCACAGGTAAAGACAGACAGTAATCTTCACGTCGAGAGTAGCGAACCTTCTTTGAAGCTGTACACATAACCCTCTCTTCAACTTCAAACCGAAAACACTCACAAGGATTAACACTACCCCTGCTGTTTTTCTATGATGAAAGAAATAATGGAATCTTTTTAATGTTTATATTTTCTTTATTGCATGAATTTAGTTTTGTAGATAAAATTCTTGAAACATGCCAGATTCTTAAGAAGGACCCAGATTTTCAACAAGTAAGATTCACTGGTTGTTTCTAGAGTGGGCATGACTCCATAATTATAGACTTTTCAATGTGCATTATAAAAAAAAAAAAAAATGATCATGTTTTTGATTAACCAACCTCAATTATAGAAATGACATGCAGAAAATATTCCTGGGCATCCTGTTGTTTTTTAGTAGAGAATTCAGCATGGCCTTTACCAACTAAATTCTTGAACATTTGTGGCCGAATCCCAGATGGAGGCTAAACAAAAAGGATGAAAATGATCATACAATATCAACATAAATTTATGGTATCCCATTATTTAAAAATAGTGATTAATTGTATATTTATTTTCTTCTTCTTATATTAGAGGACCCATGATCAATTTATTGATTCTTCTGGCTCCTGGTTTGAATTCAGAGTTTGCCATCTCTTAGATGGGTTCCCGTCCAAGGCTAACGAGTCCCATCCACCCAGGGTGCTTGGGATGTTGGCTTTGGTGGGGATTGGACTCCAGACCACCAGCTATTATTATTATTTATTAATTAACCACTGTTTTATAAAATACTTCCTGGTAGAATTTATATTTGCATTGTTTATTAAATTCTACGAGGGAGTATTTTATCTTCATTACACAAAATGTCTGAGCCTAAACATAATTTACCCAGTACTCAAATGAAACAAAATATATGCAAGTCATTTTATTTTTGTAGACTATTTTAGAAAAAAAGAGATTCAAATAATGTTTATAATAAATGATTTCTTAATTATTAATGATCCAGTTTCAAATGGGTTCAATTTTTAAAAAAAATATTTATCAACAGAGCGCAAGCTGAAATCATCTCAAACTTTGATAGAATCAAACAAAATGAATTATTTCATTTACTCAACAAACTTGAAAATAATTACTTACAGGATGGTACTTGGGGACTCCAGGCTGCTGCGACTGCTCTATGTCTGGCTCTCTTCATTGGTAGAGACAAAAAAGGTGGGAAACATTGAGGTCTCATTATAGCTCTTAACTCTACAAAGCTTAAAATACTTGATATCAGAAATACGTGGTTGAAGCGATAAGAAATATACAATTGCGTTCAGTTTCTGTTATTGTCCTTCCTGAGGTTTTCCTCTACCTTTGTGTATTTCTTATTAAAATAGAATGCATCATTTTTAAATTTAAGGGAGGAGACCATGGTAAATATTGTACCAAGAAAAAACTACCTATTTTTCTGATATCAGTTGATTGTTTAAATGCTAAAACTGGAAATGGTTTGCACTACTCCATGTGCGACAAATTCCCCACCCCCCCCCCCAAAAGGCCATTCCAACTGGATAAATTATTGTCATTTAGTTTTTACTAAATAACTATGAGAGCATAAGAAAATTTAAAGTGCAGATAACACTTACATTTTCTTGGAATATTCTCCTGAGAGCAAGCCAAAAGCTAACTTCTTCCTTGAATGTATATAAAAGTAATACATGTACAAAGTATCAAGAAAATCAATTTAAAAACCATAAAACAAAAAACAACACACAAATGGAGCTGATCTTCACAATAAAGTGCTACATAGTTTAAACTTAACAAAAACACACAACTTACTTAAAATTGACTCTGTTGAGATACTTACATTTGTGTGTTGAAATCTTGGGTAGGATTGTTTGGTGCATTTTGAACTAACTGGTCTAGGTTGCTAAAGTACCTGAGGATTTAACAATTGAAAATTTTAAACAAGAAAAAAATTAAAGTACAAATTTCTTCCACATCCAAACATTGTTAGTATTATTTTTTTTCCTTTAATAGCCTCCAAACAAGAAAAAAAGACATTTGTTAATCCCAACATACAATTTGTTCTGTCAATGTTGGGCACATTTTTTAAATGTGATATCGTTGAAAATGATGGAATTTCAGAAAATTATTTGTTTATATATCACCCTTCAATTTTTTTAGACGTAAATATTTTTTAATAAAAATATATTTCTGCAGATCTGGTTACCATCGCACTAAAATAGTACAATATCGTCTCAAAATCGTACAATACAGTAACTCATTAGTAAATAAATAAACATATAGTATATATAATGTATACATTAACCACACGCATTGTCACTTAAATCGTAGGTCTGACAGGTCTTGGAGTACAATCATAAAAGACCTCTCAAAATTGTAAACTGTATGCCAAAATCATAAAACAGGTCTGTGACTGTATGATCATTCATGGCTGATTAACTAAGCAAGATCTGAAAGATGTATGCCATGCCCAAGAAAGCCGTGCCTGACTTACCTCCTCTGAAAGTCAGGTATGCTAAACAGGACTTGCATCACAGAGTTCATATAGCAGCTGTTGCCGAGGTTACGCATGCCTGTATATCCTGGCCCAAAGAGAGGCCTCAGCTGGCTGCCTGCCTCTTGAATCACATCCCACTCTCCAATCCTCTGATTGATGTCTATCTCCAGTTCTGTCATGGTTTTGTCAGTCTAAAATTGAAACATAGTTATATTGGCATTGCTCTACTGTTAGGTCTGTAACAAAATGTTTCACAAAAAAAAAAAAAAAGGTCTGTAACAAAATGTTTCAAAAAAAAAAAAAAAAAAAAACGCAGTGAAATTTACTTTTTTTATCTTTTAAATTTCTCACAAAAAACAAAGTTTCAGAGTATGGAGAGGAAGAAGCACTCTTCACTGCATTCCAAGCTTCAGTGAATAAATATATTTACCTTTTCCAATGCTGCCACATTGATACCGAAATGAGCCAAATGCTTGGCCAGGTATGGGTCCTCCACCATATCATCTTCAACGTATGAATACACATCTGAGAGATACGAAAGATAGGAAAACAATCATTATAGACACTTTCAACATGAGTCAAAGGGGCATACAACACTCTTTTATTTTAATTACACAGATGGGAACACATAAACAATGATATTGATTGATTTATTTAGTTTGATTTATTTTTTTTTAAATTTATTTTGAACTTCGTGGTATTTACATAAAACAAGTAAATGGCAGTGGTCTTTCTCTAAATAATTTTAAAGATGAGACTGAGATACAAGAATATTATTCCAAAGCACTTTGACAAATATTTTTTCTTCAGAAATGTCAAATCCCATTAATGAACTGTATCATAAACATCAGACACGAAACCTCTACCTCCACTAGTAGCAGTGATTGTTCCCAGCTTCACCGCCAATGGATGCTTGACTTGCTGGTAGTGCTCAACAGCATGGTTATTGCCCCCTGATCCGTCAAAGAATCTTCTTCCACAAAGAATGGAACCATCTGTTAGGTTCAACCAGAGGTTGGTAGTCAGCTCACACCTCTCACATTTCCAACCCGATGGTGGGATTTTCTTTTCAGTCTTTAGTTGGACTAAGTTTTCAGCATACCTGACAGGAGGTTTTTTTGTTTTGTTTTTTTTGAAAGATATAGTGTTATATTTTGAAAGTAGATATCTCCAGTTGGATTTTAGAGCTCTTTATTTTGATTTTGCCTTTTTTGTGGCTAAAATACTGTCATGTCCAATTTATTTTATGTATAAGCAGTTTTTCTAAAATATCAAACAACACCAAAAACTACCTAGCATAGATCTTTGATAGGGATTGGAGCCAACTATTGTATAAGACTAAGAGTTTACAAATGAACGACTCACCTCAATAATAACCTCCTTAAAATAAATCCAGACATGATCTTAATGTTCTTTTAACATGTTACTAGAATTGCTTTCTAAAGCCCAATCACTTCTGAACTAAAACAAGACTGTGGTCTTCAAAGAATAGGACTTTTTTTAAAGATCTTTTTCTAGACAGGCAATGCAAAACAACAGCAAATGACCATCAAATTTTAGTATTCAATGAAAGACCTTTTTAAAGTTCCATTACACATTTAACATGGACTTACTTGGATACCCTAAGCTTTTCTCCTTCCCAAGTGCCAGCCATCGCTGCTGCCTCTTCCTGTTTGGCTGCATCCTCAGCCATCATGATCATGGTGGCAGACTGTTGGACCTGTTGAAAGTATAATAGTTCATAAAGATTTTCTTTTTAAAGCCATTGAAACGTTTGTAAGGACTGTTTTAGTGTATTAACAATGGTTAAAGACAATTTTTCTTCCAAGCAGGATGCCAAGGCTACATCAAGTATTTTTATAAACTGTCCGATCCTGGTGTAGCAGGATCTTGTTAAGTTATTTACAAAGACTAATTTCATAGTTGCTTAACATCCATAGCTTAATTCAAACCTAGTTCGTAAAAATTAGACTATGAACGCAGATCATACAAAAATTGTTCATCTTAATACCTGCTGTGGAATATTCTCATGTGGGAAAGGTATTTGGTACCACTGAGGCAGAATAACAATGGCAACATGTTCTTCAAACTCGAACCTCTTGTCGTCAGTCTGAAAACCTCCTTCCACTCCTTAGAAATAGAAAATAGAAGTAATTTGGTAATCACTTGTATATATATCTTAAAACTTAACAATAACGTTTTTGTCATTATATAATTTACAACAACTTGCAATGGTGCTGTTTTGTTTAAGTTGACAAAAGTAAATCTAAAATAAAATATTAAATAAAATTACAAGCCTGGTGATGCTGATGTAATATTAGTTATCCCTATACTTATGAAATAATTGTTTAAAAAAATTCATTTTATCTGCTGATTAATAAATAATTATTCAATTTCTTACTAAAGCATTTAATAATCATAAGTTGATTACTAAGTTGAAAACTTTATAATTTGCTTACCAATGGCAAGCTTTGTTGGCTTATCTGCAGTACTTGTTTCATCTTTAGGAATCTATGAAATCCCCAAACAAAAATTATCATAAGGCCTTTAAGTAGTTCACTAATTGTATTAAATTAAGCTAATTTATTCAGGTCTTATTTAACTAACAACTCATGGGCCTAAATATCATTACATATATTGCTTACACATCAAAAAGAATATAAAGATAATTAGCTCTTGATCCCCTTTAAAGTGTTTTAGTACATGATCAATAACAAAAGGATTCAATATAATTATCAAATGAGATATTTAAACAATGTTCTAAAGCTTGACTTGGAAAAAAAATAAGAACAGTTCCTATAGCCCTTGCAAAGAATATGGGCTATTTAATGGTAGAGAAAAAGGAAAGTAATTTAGCTTAGAAATGTTTAATATGTTGAATTCTGTGGACTTCCATCAGCTAATTTTTTATTTATGTCCCTCTTTGTCTGCTGTAGAAGACTTTTAGTAGAAATGTTCATTATGACTCTAGAAATGTTTGCAGTTTTAGTTTGTTGAGCAAGTCTCATTTGAAGAATAGCCTATCCAAAGAATCTTAATGAGTAAAGTCAACAATGCAAGTCTGACAAATAACCAATGGCGTAGGAAGGTTGGGGCAAAGACGGGGTGGGGGGGCTCTGGGTGACATTGTTTTCTATATATATTGAGGGGCAGCTTTTTTCCTTTTTTCGCAAGAAAATAGTTTTTGTTGGGTAGGGGATGGCAAAATCTTGGCCCACCCGGGGGAGGGGGGGGGGGGGGGCGCACTAATCTCAGCTACATGACTGACTGCACATAACTTCATGGTTTTATCAGAAGAACAATTTTAAAATTTAATTTACCTTACTTACATTCAAATGCAGCTTCATCATTGAATTTTTTAATAAATTTAAATGACATGGAGCAAGGTGGACGGTTAGAAGATGTCGAAGCGGGTCTCATAGATGTATTAATAGGTCAGTATTAAATCAATTAGAAGAAGACCAATTTGAATAAGGTCTATAACCTTAACCTATTATTTTGTAAAATAGCAAAGAAGTGTAACTATTTAAAAGAATGAAACAGACCTCTTTTCTAAACCTCCTGATTTGTAAAAAGACTCCATTGCCTGTTTTCTCAAAGAATTGCAGGAGATATCTCTTACCAACTCCAAGGAAGGAATTCATACAGATATAAAGGCCATCTGGACTTTCCTGTAGAAGAGAATACAGTTGTTGAATTAAAAAAAAAAGAATAATTTTGAGTTTGACTTGGACTGGATCATGGATTGTATCCATCTCTTCATTTATCTGTTAAATGAAAGAAATTAAGTTATTCTGGAAATCATATTAATATTAAAAGAATAAAATTTATGTTATTCTCCTTTAAAATTCAAAGTTGTTGACATGGTGTCATTGGATAAAGATAAACAACTTTACTTGCAAATGTTCAAATTCAAATATTTATAAAAGTAACACTTTTCATATTATGATATGGCACTGTGGTATTATTTAATGTTCTGACTAAATATGCTATCATTTATACATATACAAATAAGCTTGGGTAAAACTTAACAAATATAAGGGAGGTAGGTAGGGGTATGTTTATGGCCTCAGTGAGACAGTGGCTCAGTGGACATTGTCATAGTCTGTATTGTCTAAGTAATTATTCAATAATTATTTAATTAATAATACTAATAGACTAATTAAGTATGTCTGTCATAAAATAAAATTATATTATTAATTAGGACCTAATGCCTAATAGTAATAGTAATAGCGTAATTCAGCGTTTCCCAAACTTTTAAGTTTCATGGACCGGTGGACAAGTTTCGAAACTGCACCAGAGACTGGTGCCAGATTTACTAATTACATTTTCTTTCTATTTACACATCAATATTCATGCTCTCCAGACCCGTAACGTAAGGCTTGCACCGTTTGGAGAACGCTGGTGTAAATGATTGATTTTGATTGCTACTACTATTATTGACTAATTATTGAAAATTGATTGACCCATCATTTAAAACCAGTCTTATTCATTTTACTTAATAAAGCCTGGTCATATGAGGATAATTTTTAAATTAGTAAACTGATTAATATAGTACGGCTAGATTGTATTGTTAGGTTATTTTGTAATGTCTTTAAAATAAAAAGTAAGTCAAGGCCTAAAATTGTTTCGCTTTCTTTTCTTCAGTTTCACTTTCAAATTTCATAACCGGTTCGGGATTAATTGAATTACCATGATAAAGATATGGAATAGTATAGTTTTATTAACATATTATGAAAGAACTGGGGAAGTAAATACTCACTGGATTATCGAATGAAAATGCACATTCGTCTTTATAAACCTTTTCATTTGTATTTGGTATTTTAACGATGCGTTTGCTCAATTCATGAATAGCCTCCATGTTAGGTTTTACTGTTTACCGATAGATTGAAACAATTAAATAGTTCAGAGATATTAAATTTTAAGACATGTTCATGCTAAATTAAGACACACACTTTATTTTGAGATGAACGCTATTTTAAATCCCGTATTTTTATCACCTCGTTTAAAATGAAATTGAACCAAAAATATCCTAGATCTAAGTATTTGCAGTATTTTGAGTACAACAGACTTGTGCAGTCATGTCTTCAATTCTGCATGGAGTACCGAGGACATTTGAATCCCAAGACGAATAGAGCGTCTTGTGCAGGGGGCCTGGGACCTAACTTTGTGATGTGAAAAAAAAAAATCAATCTATCAAATTTGAATGCAGGGGGCAAAAAAATTAATTAAAACCCGAAAAGTGGCACAGGGCCGACATAATTCACGCCAATCACGCGACAGCTTTCCGCTCTGGCGGCGAGAATAACAATTGCGACTTATCAAGCTTGAGAAACCTATTTTTATATAATAAATATGTAGAAAAAATAATTTAAACTATAAATGATATTAGATTCAAACATGTGGATAAAAATCACTAATGAAATAGTACGATATTTTTATACAATAAACATTACAGCAGTAGTCATTTATCAAAGAAATGCACCGTTGGCAGTCTGATTATGTGTATTACTAATCCCCGGTTCACCGTTGTAAGCAATATATGAGTCATTACAAGTAGATCTATGTAGCCTATAAGAAATATCTTCCTAATGGCTTTGTATGTTTTCGGAGTGCTAAGCCGTAAACCCCTGCCTATTTATTTATTTATTTATTTTTTTCATTTATAAAATAACTTCACTCTTTAGCCAGCGTCTCCATGAGGTGTATGATGCAAATTCAGCGACATAATTAAGGGGCCGAAAATAGAGGCAATGAAACGTGCTCAAATGTGCAGCATAATCTCCACTCTTAGCGAGATGTGTCTTCGCTGGCGAGGCCACGCCAAGAAAATAGTCATTGCCAGTGGCGTAGCTGGTGTTGGTGTCGACCGGTGCAGAAAACTCATGGTGTCACCCCAACCCTCTTCTCGACTTCCACGATGGATTTCTTCTTCTTAAAATAATTCCACATTCTAACTATGACAAAAACAAAAACAAATTAATTGAAAGTCATGTAGTAAGTGTATTTAAGAACTGTAACAACGTTAATATACAGTTATTTTTACTTAAAATGTACTTTATTAAAAATTTTCCTTTCCTGGTCTTCAAAGCTGCAAACCTGTCAACCACTTGATCAACATCCTTCACCAATATCACTTTCAATTGATAGTAGCGCCAAATCAGAAATCCTTGACTGTCCCATGGTAGATCGTAAATAATTCTTGCTAAGCCCGAGTTTTGAAAAGCTCCTCTCACATGAAGCCAAAGACAGACAGATAGTAAAACTTGAAGGCTAAGCGAAAATATTGGAAGGCATTTTAGGAAGTACCATTCAGCTATGAATTTCAAAACATGAAATACTGACCAGTCCATGACTTTGTGGAATCAAATAACTGCTGCCTTTAGGTGTCTTCTAAGCCTTGTTATTTCTTTTAAAACCTCATCCTCGATAACTCATCAAAGAACCTTTCTTCGCTTGCTGATGGAAGACTCTTGGGTTGAACAGTGTCGAGTGTGGGAGTTCATTAATAATTGTTGAGACTGAATATTATGTTTGATTACGCGTGGTGTGTGTTTGAGAGATTAATTAGTTAGTCAACGCTCTTCCCGCGCTTGACTTGGTGATGTATTTTCATGCCCACTATGACGCAATCTCTAAGTCTGTTTTGTGACTTGCGTTCTATTCGTCTGACAGTCTTGAAAGGAACTTTGTGAAAGGAGGTTGTTTTTAGTTCTCTCTGACAGCGAGCTGCGCTATTCATGTGTATATGAAATTTGCAGTCTGGGTATATAATTAGATATTAAAGTTTCATTTATTATGATAATGGACTTGAGTTGATTCATTGTTAGTTGTTGTTCGTTCGTCGAAGTCGACAAGGACCATCGAATCATCCGGTTAGGGGCGGGCGGGGGGGGGGGTTGGGATTACGGTGAGCTCTTAAGTGGCTTGTTAGACCGATCCTTGCTCGGAATAATCTATGACACCGTGGCCATGGAATAGTTGCTTCATTGCTACTGGATTACAACGAGAAAGGGACAAGCCTGCGTGTCTCAGCTGTGGTTATTCTCTTAGCTTCATGGGATTTAGCCCCCTTCTTGACAGCAGCTCTCCACCTGGCTCTGTCCTGGGCTGTCCGCACCCATTGAGTAGGGTTTATGCTGAATGCCTTTAGTGCCACTTTCAGTGAGTCTTTGTAACGCTTTTTTTTGGGCCTCCTTGGGAGCGCTTACCTATCGTGAGTTCTCCGAAGAATAATTGTTTCGGGAGCCGGTGGTCTGCCATACGGGCTACGTGTCCCATCCAACGGAGCTGGGACTGCATCAGAGTGGTGAAGATACTAGGTAGGTTCGTACAACGCATAACAACGTGTGAAAGAACTTGGTGAATTAACTAATATTAAATAAACAGGAGTTTGACAAACAGTCCCAACCATATCAGATTCTGCTACTTCCTTGATCACTGATGATCTGATCTGGAGTTCAAAATGAAAGCGATTAATACACTTCCCTATTGTTTTATTCTCGCAGAGAGAGTCCAGCGTCTATTAGGTGTTCTCCTGCCATTCTCTCCTTAAAACTTAATCTTATCTCCACCGAAATTTCACATGTAAACATTACCAGAAGTGCATTGAGATGTAAAATTACCAGAAGTGCATTGACATGTACACATTCCCAGAAGTGCTTTGACATGTACACATTCCCAAAAGTGCATTGACATGTACTCATTCCAAGAAGTGCAGTAGCATGTACACATTCCCTCGCGATTTACTTTTTACGAAGAAATTAAATATTTTTAGAATTATTTTTTCAACACATTTTTTTGGTTTTTTTTTTTTAATTTACCAGATACGTCACCATTCTGTGCACCAAAAGTGGAGACGTCATCTCCAATTCATGCAATTTGTGTATATTATAAACAATGGCGCATCTATCCTCATTATCTATACTGTTTCTCATGTTACCTCTAGCGATCGCAGATGCTGGTTCCGGCCAACCAAAGCTAAGTATGTTTTTTTTTCTCTCCATTAGATGGGAAGAGGGCTTCTCTTTTCTTTCTTTTTTTTTCATTTATAGTTCTTATATGACCCTATTAGTTTGCACTCTTAACTTGTGTTGCAACGATAGTTAAAACGTAGTGTCTTAACGCTAAAGCAATGTAGTGTCTTAACGTAGTGATATAACTCTAAAGCAACGTAGTGTCTTAACGCTAAAGCAAGGAGCAACTTAGTGTCTTAACGCCAAAGCCAGGAGGAACTTATTGTCTTATTCTTAAGCAAGGAGCAACTTAGTGTCTAAGCGATAAAGCAACGAGCAACTAAGTGTCTTAACGCGAAAACAAGGTGCAACTTAGTGTCTTAACGCTAAAGCAACTATTTGTCTTAACGCCAAAGCAAGGAGCAACTTAACGTGTTAACGCTAAAGCAAAGAGCAACTTATTGTCTTAACGCTAAAGCACGGAGCAACTTAGTGTCTTACCGCTAAAGCAACGAGCAACGTAGTGTCTTAAAACTAAAGCAAGGAGCAACTTAGTGTCTTAGCGCTGAAGCAAGGAGCAACTTAGTGTCTTAGCGCTGAAGCAAGGAGGAACTTAGTGTCTTAGCTCAAAAGGAAGGAACAACTTAGTGTCTTAACGCTAAAGCAAGGAACACCTTAGTGTCTTAACGCTAAAGCAAGGTGCAACTTAGTGTCTTAACGCTAAAGCAAGGTGCAAATTAGTGTCTTAACGCTAAAGCAAGGTGCAAATTAGTGTCTTAACGCTAAAGCAAAGAGCAAATTAATGTCTTAACGCCAAAGCAATGCGCTTACTTTGTGTCTTCCTATTAATAATCCAAGGTTTCAACTGCACGTCAATGATTGTGTTGGTTTCCTCGGGCTTGCAATGAGACTGTGTCGAGGTGGTGTTAAGCGACAGTTCTAGAGCCATGCAGCGCTCTGATAAAACTCTTTTTTTTTATGTTTCCACAGCCATGTGTCCAGCAGAAGTGTACGATGTCCCGAACGGCAAATTCGTGCTTAAGAGTCGCGTGTCGTACATCCTGAAATGCCTACCTGGCCATGCCGTGCCCTGGGGATCCCCCAACCAGAATTTCTCCTACACTTGCCAGAAAAACGGACACACCGACGTCAAAGTTCCGCGTGGATGCATAAGTAAGTTACGGTAGCTAGGGTTGGTGATACCCGGTGCGGTAAACTCAAGGTGTCACCCCCCCCCCCAACTTACCTCCTACTTCCACGATGGATTTCTTCTTGCTAAAGTAAGTCCACAGCATAACAATGACAAGAAAAAGTAAATTAATTAAAGGTCAGTAGGTATATGTATTTAATGACTGGAACAACGTTAAGTTTTAGTTATTTTTACATTAAATTTACTTTATTAAATTATTTCCTTTCCTGGTCTTCAAAGCTGCTCACTTGTCAATTACTTGATCAAAATCAATATCCTTCACCATTTCAATTGATAGTAGAGCCAGATTAGAAAGCCTAAAATGTCCCATTGTGGATCGTAAATAGTCCTTGATAAGCCTTAGATTTGAAAAGTGCGCTCACATAAAGCCACAGACCCACAGATCGTAAGAAACAATTGAAGGCTTAGCGAGAGAATTGGAAGAGACTCTTAGGAAGTTCCGTTCAGCTAAGATTTTCAAAACATTAAATAGTAACCAGGACATGACTTTGAAAAATTCAATATAAGCTGCCTTTAGGTTCTGCTAAGCCTTGGTAAATCTTTTTAAAAGTTCATATTTAGATAACTCATCACAGAAAGAGGTTAATTTTGGAACGGACACCAAGAACACTTCATCACTTGCTCATAGTAGACTCTTGGGCTGAACAACCCCAAACGTTTCTGCTATTTCCTTAGTCGCTGATGATCTGATTTGGCGCTCAGAATGAAAGCAT